GGGGGGGGGGAGAGGGGCGGGGGGGATCAGACCCAAGCTTTGAAGTTATCATTGTTTATTAAGATCTTTACACAGGAGTAAGTAATGGGTAAACATACAGTAGTGGTTCAACTCCCTGGTCTCTTTCATGTTTTTAGTGTTTCACACGTCTTTATGCATACCATGTGTGGAACTAGTACAGGAATTTGAGGAGGTCACAAAGTGTTTCTGAGAATTGGTTTCCTCTGGGGCCAAGGTCTCCTGTGACACGGAGCTGTGGACACATGTAGCAGGGGAAAGGAGAGTAGAGTCTTCATCAGGAGACAGAAGATGACTGTAATTTATTTATGCCACACTGGGGACTTACAGGAGCATGAATGAAGCACTGGATGAAAGTGGGACTGGTGGATGGGGTAATTAATAGTCAGGGGGAAGAAACTATCACTTTCTTTTTTGAGTCAGGGCCTGTGCCTGGTGCTCTATGTATATTAGCAACTCTGGTTACATTATGATTTCCATTTACAAATTAATAAAGTGGGGTAGTGAAAGTTAAGTAGCTCACCTAAGTTCATACAGGTAGAGACCAAGAAGGAAATTCTTTTCTTTCTTACTGCACTACATGTCGTTTTGAGGTCCGAAAGTCACGCACAAATTACTAGTCCAACAGTTCAATTCCCTATGGATTAAATGCTTGTGAATTAAGGAATCTAAAGGCCATTGAAAGCCATTCTTGGCTCACAGACCCCGCAAAAATAGGTGGCATACAGATTTGGTCCCTGGAATGTAGTTTGCAGATCCCTGTTCTAGGGCTTTCATTTGAGACCCGGGTGTATTAAAAGGCTTCCTTCCCTTGGTAGGTACTGAAGTTTATTCTTTTCTCATCAGCACTGTAAGCCTGATGGCAACTGCTTTTCAGAGGTTTTCAGCCTTTTAGCCTCTGCTCTGAACAGTTCCAAAGGATAGCAATTATCTTGATGAGAAAACTGGTCTTGTGTTTGATGACCCTCAAATCTCCAACACTATCACTCCAGCTTCATGAAATGGCCAAGAGCTCTGCCATTTTCTTTGTTCACCAGCAGCAGCCTCCACTCTCTAGAATCTTAGCCCCTAAATTAGTCATTGTCTCAGTAGCTCTCTGATAGTTTTAAGTAGACAATTTTACATTTTATTATTATTTATCAATTCTTACCCAAGGATATTTTTTTCCATTGCTTTTCAACGGAGAGACATCGATGTGAGAGAGTCACATCAACTGGTTGCCTCTCACACATGCCCCGACCAGGGCTGGGGATCGAGCCTGCAACCGAGGTACATGCCCTTGGCCGCAATCAAACCCAAGACCCTTCAGTCAGTGGGCTAATGAGCCAAACTGGCTAAGGCCAATTTTACTTCTTTATGTGGCTTTTCTCATTGTTCTTAGCCATGCTACCTAGAAACATAAGTTTTGCTTTTCAAATAATTTTAAAATAGTAAAGCTAAATAAATTCAAATTCATTTTTATTCCCCAAAACTCACAATGCTATTTTCATGGATTTGAGAGAGGAAGGGAGAGGGAGATGAAACATTGATGTGAGAGAGAAACATCAATTGGTTGCCTCCTGTATGCGCCTCAACCGGAGACCAAACCCACAACCTAGGTATGTGCCCTGACTGGGAATCGAACCCACAAACTTTTGGTGTATGGGACAAAGCTCCAATCCAACCACACTGGTAAGGGTACACGATACTATTTTTTTTTTTTTTATGCTGGAAAAAACCTTCCTGAATTATGATTCTTAAAATTTAAAGGCAAGAAAGGACCATCTATAGTAGTAGTACAGGCTGAGATGTATAAGCTTCCTTTCTCTTGGAGTTATTTTAAGAACATTTAAATTTTTTTTGACTAGATGATATATTCAGTATGACTGAAAATTCAAAAAGTATAAAAGAACATATAGTGCCTAGCCAGGCGTGGCTCAGTGGATGAGCATCGACCTATGATCTGGGAGATCTCGGTTCAATTCCCAGTCAGGGCGTATGCCTGGGTTGCGGGTTGATCCCCAGCGGCGGGCATGCAGGAGGCAGCCGATCAATGACTCTCTCATCACTGATGTTTCTCTCTCTTTCCCTCTCTCTGAAATCAATAAAGATATTAAAGGAAAAGAAAAAAGGCATTCTTCCACTTCTACCTGAGGGCCACCCAGTTTCTCTCCTTGCTGGTGGAATTGTTTCTCCTTCTTGGAATATTGTATACAAATACATATATATGTTTCTATTTTTTGGACAATAGTTGCACACTATATATGCTATTCTACATCTTGTATTTTTTATTTAACTTTGTATCTTAGAGTTCTTTTCATATCTGTAATGTGGTGGTTTTTTTGTTTAACTGCTATATAGTCCTCCATTTTACTGTGTCCACTGATGCAACATTATGGTTATTTCTAAGCTGCTATTACAAACAATGCCAGACAAAAATGTTCTGTACATGCTATTCTACACACATGTGATGACAGCTTTCAGAAATTCCTAGAGGCAGAATTGCCAAGTTTACCTCCAAAGGGATTTAAACTTTTCCATTCATACCAAGCAACCCGTGAGAGTAACTATTTCCCTATACTTTTGCTAAGATTTTTTAAAAACCACACATACACACACAAAACCAAAACCAAAAGAAGCACCTTTATCTCTACTAATCTGAAGAGTGGAAAAATGTATGAGCAAAGTATAAGTGGTACCATGCGCCTTTTCACATATTTAAGAAACATTTGTATTTCCTTTCCTGGGAACCATGTTCCTGGGGAATCAAACATAACCTTTTCTAATTTTCCTCTTGGGTTATTAGTCTTTTTCCTAATGTACTGACACTTTATATAAAAGAAATTAGCTCTTTGTAATAAAGTGCATCTGATTTTTCCCCAGTCTGACATTTCTTCCAATTTTCCCTTATGATAGGTTTTGTAAAATATACATAATAGTACATTTTTATTTTTAATATTTTTATTTTCTGATTCTCAACCTCTGCAGTATTAGTACTCCCTGAGGAATTAAAGGCTCTCATATCCCTTCCACAAAAGAGGGAAAAGTAGCAATACATTTTAATGACTGACACAAAATATTTGTTTCTAACAAAAAGGCATACATAGGACTATCAGAAAGAGAATAATAGAGAAATTTAAATTTATCTTAAAACCAACTTTAGTCAGGAAGACTTCTTCACAAATAAGTGGTTAAATATATAAATCCTAAGTACATTGCAGTATTTTCCCCCCTTTTTTGGTCATGGAAAATTTAATTACATAACTTTTAATTTGAAGAGATTCAATATCTTTCCTAAAACATAAAGTGAAATTGCTCTTAGAAAATTAGTTTTGGGGCCAGGATCGGGGTGCAAAGGGGGGGGATATCTATAATACTGTTAACAATAAAAATAAATTAAAAAAAAAAACACACAAAGAAAATAACAGTTTGATAGATAAATTTTAGTGTATTTTAGACAAATTTTGTTAATTTCTGACTACACTTCATTTCAGCACAACCATTATCACCTTTTTTTTAAGAAAGGGCAAAGTAAATTTTAAATTAGCACCAGAATTCTACCTCTAATTACATACCCAATAAATACTGAAGTAGATGCAATCAACTACTCAAAGATTAACACAATTTCAGTTGCAAAATCTGGAGGAAGAAAATCTCAAAAATGTATAAAAATATTGACAAATTGCAGCTAGACTTAGTTCTAGGACATTTTATTGCATTTTTACCTTAAAAGGATGAATAACTAGACATAAGCAGAAATGCTGTTAAAACTGTTGTTTGCTCAAAGTTGTTCACGTTAATGAAACAAATATCGACAGTCTCTAAGTTAAATCTCACCAATATAGGGGAAAAACCCAAGTACCATGCTATTTCTGTCCATAAACACAAAAATCACTACCAATACAAATGATAAGAAAATAAACACATGGTTATTTATGACTCAAGTTCCACAACACAGTATATTGTGATTTAACACTCCTACAGTAAATTCTCATTTTCTAGAAGAGCAGGTTAATAGAAATGTGAATTTCCAAAATTTCAGGTAATTTAGTAACTAATTATTTTAGCACTGCTTACTATGTTGTAACAGGCAGTAAAACCCAAATGTTTTCTGTGTCATTTAACAAAGAAAGGATGAGGGGAAATGCTCTGCTGCTCCATCCTGGGCCCAGCTTCTGATCACTCAGTTTCAATGCTTCCAAATTATCAGTTCACTCTACTCAGCCTCACCCCAACTCTTAATTCCTTTAGCATCAAGAGATGACTTTCCTTTCTGTCAATTAATCCTAATTTTCCAGAAAACTCTGATTTCACATGATTCTCATTTTAAAGAAAAGAAAATGATATAATGCTTAAAATAATTAAAAATATAAAGATTAGATTATTTTAGTGTTATAGGAGATACCTTTCAAGTGACCTACAAATACATGGCGAAGCAGCAAAACACTTAGATTTTAACCTGATCCCTTAACTACTTGGTATATAGTATAATCTTGCTTTGATTACTAGTCAGAAAAAGGTGAGCAAAGACCATACATAAAACATGCATTTGTTTGTAAAGAGAATGGCACTTAAATATTTCTTGAGAGTTGGCCCAGGCATTTTTATATCTATAAGGATTGTCGAACAGCACATCAGTTATTCATCAAGAATCGAGACTCTTGCTTATCACTGACTTTGGCACTTGTACATTCCTCCCTCGTAATTGCAGTCCTTCAACTATAGGCAATGAGTGTGCCCACAGAGCAGAATAAAAGTTTTATGAACATTCCATAAAAAAGAGACCCCGGTTTACCAGATTCTAAAACACTCCTGCCTTTACCCATGCATTACTTTGTGTATCTCCGAAACATCTGAAAAATATTTTTCTGTGACTTACTAGGCTGTAGGGAATGANACCCAGCTTTACCAGATTCTAAAACACTCCTGCCTTTACCCATGCATTACTTTGTGTATCTCCGAAACATCTGAAAAATATTTTTCTGTGACTTACTAGGCTGTAGGGAATGAACACTTTTAGATTCATTACAANCCCCGGTTTACCAGATTCTAAAACACTCCTGCCTTTACCCATGCATTACTTTGTGTATCTCCGAAACATCTGAAAAATATTTTTCTGTGACTTACTAGGCTGTAGGGAATGAACACTTTTAGATTCATTACAATGATCTCTAGCAGAATTTGGCATCTTTCTTCCATTAACTGAATGTCTCAACTGGATCTTAAAAGGTTGGCTATTTTCAGGTTTTGGGCCTCGGCGAGGTTTTGAATGCTCTTTATCAGCCTGTCCTTTTAAGTTCCTATTTTTGGAATTCTTCCTCTGCCCATTTAGCAATTTGTCTGGAGGTGAGGGCGTAGCACGTAACTGATATCTACCTGGGGATCCTTTCTGAGGGTTTGGCTTCATTTGCTCTTTATCTACCTCTTTTTGAATCTGTAACGCTAACAACCTGTCCTGTTCTTCTTGTTTATGTCTCTCAAAAAGTAGGCGTTCCAAATCTAACAGTTTTTCAGTAAAGTTGATTTCTGTTTCTTCTTGGGCCGAGGAAGATTCAGAGGACATTTTCCTTCTTTTTGCAGAAAAGCATGGATCCCTGACTGTTTCAAACAAAGGCTCCTGTTTTTTTCTTTTGGAAGTGCCTTCTTCACTGATCAGTAGGTGAGACAATTCATTTTCTGTCTCAACCGTGTTATTTCCAATCATCTGTATCATATCTGATACAGTGCACCCACTCTCTGTTTTGCTACAAGGCTCAACTGCAGCTTCTCTGGAGTAGGGAACTCTGGCTTCATGTCTCTCATGATTTATGACACATAATTCTTTATCATGATTGCTTGGTCTCATTTTGACTTCTCCAAGGCACCATTCTGTACCACTGGCACATAACTGCGGCATAGGTGACTCTATTGAAGATTCTGAACTTTGTTCTTGGATTTCAAGGCATATTTGTGGAGAAAGTGTTGGCATATCTTCCTCAGTTTCTGTGTCTTGCCACGGAGGACTCTTTACATCGTTACTGTTAGTTTCCTATAGAAACAGAAAAAGACTGAGTGAACCAGCAGTATACATCAAGTTGGACACATTTATCTTACACTGATGCGATAGTTGAGTTGTCACTATTAGGCAGTTATTACTACTAATACATTAATTTTTTTAAAATTGGAAACCTATTTTATTTATTCTTTTAATGTTTTTAGATTTCAGAGAAAGGAAGGGTGAGGGAGAGAGACAAACATCAATGATGACAGCTAGTCATTGGTCAGCTGCCTCCTGCACTCCCTACTGGGGACTGAGCCTGTAACCCAGGCATGTGCCCTCACTGGGAATCAAACCACAATCTTCTGGTTCATGGGTCCACGCTCAACCACTGAGCCATGCTGCCCGGGTGGTTCATTGACTTTTAATAGTATTTTTATTCTGTATGCCAATTGAAATTAAGGCATTCCCTCATTTTCATTCCCATGAAAATCTACCGGTTAAAACCCACAAACTAGATTCTCTATATAGCCAATAGCTGGCACCATTACCTGACCTCTCTTTCACCTTATAAACTTCCAGTAGCCCAGGGATTTTAAACCCCCTTTTGTACCACAAACTCTCCTCTTTTAGGCATTTTGGTGACACAGACCTCTTCTTAGAATAGTATTTTAAAATGTAAATATATAGGATCACAAAGAAAATACTTTATATTGCAACACAATTATTAAAACGTTGAAAATTATGATGCATGTGTATCTATAAATAATATCCAGTGGCAAGTCTAATAACTTGTAATACTGAAGTAGGGATGTGTATAAATGTTATTTCAAGAGACTGCAACAAATATAATATGATAAAAACCCATCCTGACTATTGATGACAGTCACAGGTACTATTAAGAGTATTATAGTTTGCTGTCTATAATTAAAGGAAACACTAAAATGAGAGGTTGGACGAAAGTAAACTTTTTCTTCCATTTAAGTTCATATGTACTTTCTGGATTCTAACCACAGACCTGAGGTTGAGAACCCTTGCTTAAGCCAGTATAATTCTTCTCATTTATAGGTCTTAGGTAAGCCAAGACTTAGAATTAGTTTTGACAATGGGAAAGCGCTAAGAAGAAAGTCTTCAATGAGAATTTGCCTCAGAACAAAAATTACTCCTTGTTGGAGACATTCTGTTCTTATATCTTATTTCCTTTGCATCTATCATTCCTGACAGCATTTCTTACAAACCTATGTGGTTTGGATTGGAAAAATTCTAGGTTGCTTACCTAGTTTTGCTGTGAATATGAACAACAGGGTAGAAGAAATATCCCAGCCCTACAATGCCTTTTTCATCAATCCTCAGTTCCAGTACCAACCAGACTATTTGGACTTGAATCCTCCATTACTTCTGCTTTAAGTCTCTTAATCTTTGTGTGCCTCAGTTTTTTAAACTATAAAATGGGCACAAGAAGGATACCTTCTTGTATCCAATTGGAGGCTGTGATGAAGATTTAAAGAAAACACATACATTATCTGGCACATAGTAAATGTTCATAAAAACCACCTATCTGAATTGAAAACAATAAAATAAAAGGTACCTGTAAGTAAAGGGTTAACAAACCTTTTAATGTAAGAAACAGACATTGGTGTCAGCTCACCTTTCCTAGTTCTAAGTAGAAACCTGATAAAGGTGGAATGTCACCTGTGTTACTAGGCCACACAGCTTATGGTAAAAATGACCGTTACTGGTGAACTGCATTTGTACTAAGAGAACTATAAGTGATCTACAAACACCCAGCAGGAAGTGAAAGCTTGGGGCTTCTGTAAGTGACTTATAACTCCTTTGGGTATGTTTCTTACGAGGACCCCTGGAAGTTACACCCATGGATTGTTACAATAAATAACTGACTCTCATGGGGCATAAGGCTTCTTAGCTAGGGTGGTTACCACAGTCATATGCCTGGTATCATTTCCAGGCCATCACTTAAGAGCTCTGCAATGAGGACTCTTACTGAATTATATGCCTGATGCTGTCCTACTAGCATGCTTTGTTTCCCATCCTGTAATCTTTTAAGTGAAGTTGGTACCAGGGATAGCCTATTCAGTTTTGTGACTCTGATTATCTAGACCGGGGATCCACAAACTATGGCCCATGAACCAAATTCAGCCTACTATTTTTGTAAATAGTTTTATTGGAACAAAGACAAGCTCATTTGTTTACATACTGTCTATGAATGCTTTTGCAAGCAACAGCATAACTGAATTATGACTGAGACAATATGGGCCGCAAAGCTTAAAATATTTACTATCTGGCTTTACAGAAAAGGTTTGCTTGCTGACTCCTAGTCTAGGTAAGCCTAAGATGACTAAGAAATGGTGTCCTACTTACCACAGTGACTTAAGAAAAATAAAGTTAGGAACCTACAAGTATTAGCAATCCATATAGCATTAGTAAATGTGCCAAACTAAGAACATCTTTAGCATGCACCTACCTTATACATGGAGTTTTTCTTGTCTTCTTGTACCACTTCAGACTGTGATGCTGACCGAAACTGAGATTTAGGTGACAAATACCTTTTAAAAAAAGTTTACCAAAGTTTGAATGCTTTGAAAGAGAAGTGATATGTACCCAAAACAATAAAGCCACTAGCTATTTATGCTGAAGACTATCTGGTTGCTTGGCTGATTTATCAGAAAGAGCATAGTCTATCCTCTTGTCTCAGGTATTTTAGTCTAACTCCAGAGCAAAACTTAAAAAGCTGAGTATTGCTATCTTAGGGAAAAATAGCAGAAAAGGAAGTAAAAGTACAATCTAAACATTTCTTGACTCTCAAAAAAATTTACAAAGGTAGATAGCATCAAAACAACCAAGACTGTATAGTCTTACCAAAAGTACTGGAAATAACTTTTTTTTAAACCTCACCAGAGGATATTTTTGCCATTGCTTTTCAGAGAGAGTGGGGGTGGGGGGAGAAACATCGATGTGAGAGAGACACAACAACTGGCTGCCTCCCGCACACACCCCCACTGGGGCCGGGGATCGAGCCTGCAACCAAGGTGTCCGGAATTGAACCAGGGACCCTTCAGTCTGAGGGCCGACGCTCTGACCACTGAGCCAAACTGGATCGGGTTGGAAATAACATTTTAAATCTAGAGAAAGAATATGGTCAGTTTTGTTTTTTGGTTTTTTTTAATGCCAGAAATTCTATATTTTTTATTGTGGAAAAGTCCATAATTAAGATTCTTTACCATTTTGGTTTAGAGATTTTTGTTATATATACTTTTTTTTTTTTTTTTTTTAAATATCTTTATTGATTTTAGAGAGGAAAGGAGAAGGGGAGAGAGATAGAAACATCAATGATAAGAGAGTCACTGATTGACTGCCTCCTGCACACCCTCGACTGGGGATTGAGGCCGCAACCCGGGCATGTGCCCTGACCGGGAATTGAACCCCAATCGCCTGGATCCTAGGTGGATGCTCAACTGCTGAGCCAAGCCCGGCCGTGCTATATATACATTTTATATCAACTATCTGCTTAGAGACAAACATATATAAGATCAGCATAAGATCGTATCTCTAAATTTCTAGGCATCTTTAATAGGCTGTTTACTACTGAAAAAAAGTTTGTAATATAATGGAAAATGTTGTAAAAGAAATGGGAATAAAAGGACAGGGAATGAGATGGTAGGTATATTGTAAAAAATCCAAACACATATACAACTATGCTTAAAAATGGCAGAAATCTCCCAAAATGTTGAATGCCTTTAAGTGATGGTAACTTTGGGTGATTTTTCAAAGTGCAGCTAGCTTTCATTTTTATAATTAAAGAAAACAATGAATAAAAAAAGTTTGATTGCAAACAGTATGTACAACCATAAATTCCATTGCGTCCAAAGCACCATATAGAATAAAATAAAACCTAGACAAAATCTCCTATAAAGAACAAATAAATATCCTTTATAGATAAACTAGTGTGTCTAACCCACATATTTAGTTACATCAACCTAAGTACTCTAAGAACTTATGAGAACAAGAATCACCTTTTTAGTTGATAAGAGAAGAATAGGAGTCCAGGTTTAGCTGCATTTTAATTGCTTTCCAAAACTGAAGAATCCCTTCTGCCAAAGTTGGATATTAGTCATCAAGTATGTTAGTTCCAAGAAAGAATTATTACAGCATAATAGTTGTTTTGAAATCCATAAGCAAAGAACAAAACAGTATGTGATCAGATACTTATCCAATTTGATCAGTGAACTCTCCTGGATATTCTTTACTTATAATAACCAAAAACTAAATGGACATGTAGGAAGTATGTCGTCATCCCTTTCCATTTCTATTTGCTGCCTCCTCTGTAACCAATTTTTTTGTTGTTGTTAATCCTCACCCAAGGGTTTTTCCCCCACTGATTTTTAGAGAGTGGAAGGGAAGGAGGGAGGGGGGAGAGAGGAAAACATCAATGTGAGAGACACACATCAACTGGTTGCCTCCTGCACGCACCCCAACCATGCTGGGGATTGAATCTGCACCCAGGTATGTGCCCTTGACTAGGAATTGAACCTGCAACCCTTTGGCGGGCAGATGCTCTAACCACTGAACCACACCAGCCAGGGCTGTAACCAATTTTTTAAAAATGTGTATTTCTATATAGTACACACTATCTCTTTTTTAGAGAAATCATATTTTTCTGAGATTTACTTTTTTTTTTAATCTTCACCCAAGGATATGCTAAGAGAGAGAGAGGAAGGGCGGAGGGGGAGGGAGAGAAAGGGAGAAACATTGTCTAGTTGCCTCCCATACACTCCCCAACCAAGGATAGAACCTGAAACTTAGGTATGTGCCCCAAGTAAGAATCAAACCTGCAACCTTTTTGGTGCACAGGACGATGCTCCAATTAACCGAGCACCTGGCCAGGGCTGAGATTTTCTTCTTTTCACTATGTCTTTTTTTTTTTTTTTAATATATCTTTATTGATTTCAGAGAGAGGAAAGGAGAGGGAGAGAGAGAGATAGAAACATCAATGATGAGAGAGTCATTGATCGAGCCTGCAACCAGGCATGTACCCTGATGGGGAATCAAACCCCGATCATCTGGATCCCAGGTCGATGCTCAACCGCTGAGCAAGCCTGGCCGGGCTTTTTTCACTGTCTTAGATCTTTCTAAGAGAGTATATATCAGTCTACCTCATGAGAACAAACAATTTATGAGAGAATAATTACAAAATATATGTAAGAATCATAATATGGAGGTGGGCAAAAATACAGTTGTTCATATGGAAAAAGACATGCAGGCTATATTACAATAGCTTTATTAACCCAAAAGAATGTCACTTACAACTGTAAACCTACTTTGGCCCACCCTAAGTATCATGGTTACAGAGAGGGAATACTCACTGGGTAAGGGCATGAGTGAACTTTTCAGAAATATTCTGTATCTTAAACCTGGAGGATGGTTTATACAAATGTAAAAATTCACCAAAAGTACACTCAAGATTAGTGCACTTTCATATATGTACGCTATACTTAAAAAATAGTTGAAAAAATTTACATCACAAAAACCCTTATACTCACCACCCAGTTTGAGGGGGGAAAATAATTGATTTTTAAATCCTTATGGGTTCTCCCCTTTACCCCTCACTTCAGAGATGATTATCCTGAGTTATTTATCTCTTGTTTTTTTTTTAATTCTCACCCAAGGATATTTTTCCATTGCTTTGCAGAGAGAGTAGAAAGAAAGAAAGGGAAGGAGAGAGAGGAAGGGGAGAGAGAGGGGAAGGGAGGGAGAGAGGAACATCAATGTGAGAGAGACACATCGACTGGTTACTCCTGTACTCAGGGATCAAGTCTGCAACTGAGGTACATGCCCTTGACCAAAATCGAACTCAGGACCCTTCAGTCTGAGGGCCGATGCTCTAACCACTAAGCCAAACCGGCTACGGCTTATCTCTTGCTTTTAAAAAGTTTTCCCATACACCTGTATCCCTAAACACCTTATTGCTTAGTACTGCATGATTTTGAACCTTATGTATATAGAATCACACTAAATGTATTCTTCTACAACTTGTTTTTTTCACCAGCAATTTCCTGATTCATGTATGTTTTCCTTAGCTAGAATTCATTTTCACTGCTGGATAATATTCTGTTCTACTGTTGGAATACGGGTGCTTCTGGTTTTTCACTGTTATGAGAAAGCTTAATTTTTCCAGTAGGGCAAGTATGAAATGTTAGTTCAATATACTTTTGTTGTTTTCGTTGAGGTATAATTGACATACAACATAGTAATTTGTTTCAGGTATGCAACATGATTACTTGTATATAATGAAAAATGACCTCACTATAATTTTAATTTCCATAAAACTAAAGTCACAGTGCCTTTTAGAACTTAGTCTCTGAAGTGTACAATGTCCCTTCTGTAACTCTATTTGTATACTTAAGTCCAGCCACATTCAAGAAGAGGGAAATTAGACCCCATCTTTTGAAGGGAGGAATATCAAAGAATTTGTGGACATATTTTAAAAATGCCAAAGCTAGCATAAAGTCTCCATAAGCTGTGGTGTGTTTCTAAGCTATCTATTATGTAGCCTCAATTATTCTGTCTTTCTATCCCTGCGTAAATACCACTTTTACTCATTATAAATTTGAAGGCATTAAAAAGAATGAAATCTTGCCATTTGCAATAATATGGATGAACCTCGAGAGCGTTATGCTAAGAGAGAAAGACAGACAAAACACCATATGATCTCTTCTCATATGTGGAACCTGGGGGGGCGGGGGAACCCAGCTCATACTCACAAATACAGAGAACAGATTGGCGATTGTCAGAGGTGGGAGTAGAGGGTGTGGGATGTGTGACAGAAATGGGCGAACTGTTTCTTGTTTGTTTGTTTGTTTTGGGGGGGAGAGAGAAGGAGAAGGGGAGAGAGAGAAACATGGATTGTTTCTCTCCGACGGGGAACTGAACCCGAAACCTGGGCACGTGCCCTGACTGGGATTGAATCAGCGACCTTTCAGTGCATAGGATGATGCCCAACCAACTACACCACACTGGCCAGGGCATAAATACATTTTTTTAAAAAGACTGTTTAACCAATGTGTTACTTAGTAGTCTGTCTTAATTTTCAAACATTTTAGTAATCATTGTTAATCATTTTAAATTTGAAGTAAAATTCATAGCATAAAATTAAGCATTCAGTGGCATTTCATTCATTCTAAGTTGTGCAACCATCACATTATTGAGTTCCAAAACATTTTCATTATCCCCAAAGGAGACTCTGTGCATATTAAGCAGTTACTCCCCATTCCCACCTCTCCCCCAGTCACTGGCAACTACGAGTCTGCTTTCTATCTCTAAAGATTGACCTACTCTAGCTATTTCATATAAATGGAATCATATGTATGTAACCCTGTGTTACACATATGTAGGTGTCTGGCTTTTTTCACTTAGCATGTTTCTGAAGTTCATGCACATTACAGCATGTATCAGTGTGTTATTCCTTTTAGGGCCGAATAATATTCCACTGTATAGATATTATTTATCCCTCAATGAACACTTGGGCAGTTTCCACCTTTTAGCTATTTGAAGTGCTGACACAAACATTTGTGTACAAATATTTGTTAAAATACCTGTTTCTAATTCTTTTGGGTAAATACCTAGGAGTGGAACACTGAGTCATATGGTAAGTCTGTTAAACTTTCTAAGAAGCTGCCAAACTGTTTTCCACATTGGCTGCACCATTTTACATTCCCGCCAGCAATGCACAAGATTCCAGTTTTTCTACATCTGTGCCAACATTTGTTTTTTCCTGTTTTTGGGGGGGTTTTTTGGATTATAAACATCCTAGTGGGTGTGAAATGGTATCTCATTCTGGTTTTTACACTTCCCTAATGACTAATGCTGTTGAACATCTTTTTATGTTCTTATTGGCCATTTATACATCTTTGGAGAAATATCCATTCAAGTCCTTTGTCCATTATTTGTCTTTTGTTATTGAATTATATAAGTAGAAACTAGACCTTATCTGCTTTTTGTTTTGTTTAAAAAAATATGATTTTATTGACTTTTAGAGAGAGAGGAAGGGAGAGGGATAGAGAGAAAGAAACCTCGATGAGAGAGAAACATCGACCAGCTACCTCCTGCACACTTCCCACTGGGGAATTGAGCCCAAAACCTGGGCATGTGCCCTGACCAGGAATCGAACCAGTGACCTCTTCATTCGTGGGTTGACACTGAGCCACTGAGCTGGACAGGCATGTTTTTAACTTTATTTTAACTTTAATCCACCAGCTTCTCAATTTCTGATTTTAAATTCACCAGTTTAGCCCTGGCCAGTGTGGCTCAGTTAGCTAGGCGTCCTCCAATGCACCAAAAGGTTGCTGGTTCAATTCCCAGTCAGGGCACGTGCCTAGGTTGTGGGCTAGATCCCCAGTAGGGGGCATGCAGGAGGCAGCTGATAGATGTTCCACTCTCACATTGATGTTTCTCTCTCTCTCTCCTCCCTCCTTCTTCTCTCTAAACATCAACAAAAAATTAAAAATTTTTTTTTGCCAGTTCATTAAAATTTATCAGTTTATTAGGTCCATTGTATTTCTAGTAATTTTTAATTTTTTTTATATTTCAAATATATAGATGCCTGAAGATTCATGTTATATGTTTTAAGCAGAGTATTATATAATTATGCTGTCTCTCTTTTCTCCTTTTAATGGTTTTTCTCTTGATTTCTACTTTGCATAATATCAGCACTAACAATATTGATATTGCCATATCTGTTTTTTCTTTTAATAGCAACCACTTCATTTAACTCTGCCCCCACCCTAAATCTAATTGTCCCCATCCTAAATCACCACCACCGCAAATCCAAATTTCTAAGAATTCTGCAGAGGCAAATTACCTGCACATATTTACCCAGTTAAACCAAAAGCCCTTACATGCCTAGACTGTGGTTCTTAAACTTTTCCAATTATGAATTACAACAGGAAAGCTTATATTCTCATAAAGTCATCAATTCTACCTGCTGCTGGACGGGTGCTGTGGGGAAGCTAAATCATTACTCCTGACTCAAGCTTTTTGTATAGCAGAGAAAAAATGTAATGCATAAACTGGGGGGAATTAGGTGAATGACCTAGATGCCAAATTAAACTCCTTTAATGAGGATGACCTTGTATGTGACCAGTTTTTTTCACTTGACGCTAAACCAAGGGGAAAACAAAATCCAACTGGTTAGTTTTGAGAAAATGGGAACATCATGGAAACCCTGAGCAATCAAGATAAAAAAAGACATAAAAAAGACATCACATGTCTCTTTATGCTAGCCAGAAATCTAAGCTATGTGAGTAGCTCTCCTATTTTCACTTTACATCAATCTCAGACCATCTGGAGGGTTTTCATGAAGAGTGCATGGACCAAATTTTGATAGTCAGTGGACTATATGAACAAAAAAACAAACAGTAGGTGGTCAATAAATAACTGATAAACAGTCATGTTCACTTACTTCTGAATATCTCCAGTATTTGTTTGTTTGTTTTTACTTTTCTTTTGCAACTTGCTTGTGACGGGATCAGATTTTCTGGAATTCACAGGAGAAGCCATGACTTTTTCCTCACAGAAACTGTTCTTTAACAACAGAAAAAGCATTAAAAAATTATTAAAATAATTTTATAATAAAGTAAGTTATTGATTTGACTACCTCAGAATCCACAACAGAATTTTTCAGGAATTATGCTTACATTTAAATTCTACACACCCTTTGAATATTATGTAAAAATTAGTATAAACAAGATTAAGTCCATCTAAATTGGTCTAAATTAATTGCATTTACTCTACGTGATAGAGCACAAAAGGCATGATGATACTACTCTTACTAGCTAATAATTTCTGTTAATTTTTGTAATAAATAATTTCACATTATTACCTTAATCTATAGGGTTAAATTCAAAGAGCTGTAGATATACCTGGAATAAAAGTCAGTTTTATGTAAAAGTAATTTAATTTGGGGACTTAAGGGCATACCAACACAAACCATGAATGTTTACTTGCTGTAGTCTCATAATTTCTTACCACACTATTGAAAAATGATTATAACTGGTGGTGGTATACATTTGGGCTTGGACCACCAAACTTTCACAAGTAAACCATATTGATATTTTAGAATAATTATTCTTCTAAAATATCAATAAGTCTACTCTTATAATCCCATGTGAAAACAAGGATTAGAATAATAGACTCTTGAAAGACAGGTAAAGATTCTCCTCTTTGATATACAGGGTGGGCAAGAGTGGGTTTACATTTGTGAGCACAGAAAACATAGCATTTATCTTTAGACTCTCTAACCAACTGAGCTATGAGGCTAGGGCTGTATTATTTATTTATTTAATATATCTTTATTGATTTCAGAGAGAGGGAGAGGAGAGAGGACAGAAACATCGATGATGAGAGAGTCGTCACTGATTGGCTGCTTCCTGCATGCCCCCGACTAGGGATCGAGCCCACAACCCAGGCATGTGCCCTGACCGGAATTCGAACTGTGATCTCCCAGATCCTAGGTCGATGGTCAACTGCTGAGCCATGCCCAGCGAGGCTGTATTATTTATTAACTATTGTATTATTTATTTGTATTACATAAACCTATTTTGCCCACCCCTGTATGTTCTTTCTTATCCCATTTATTATTCTATCAATCAATGTCTTTTACTTAATTTCCTATTGTGTACCTTTATAAAGCTATTCTACTTAAATTTAAAGAAGAAAGTATATTAAAAAGGGTATACAATCTAAAAGTTGAATATATTATTATGAATGGTACACCTCTCAAAAATGAAAAAAAAAAAAAAAAATCCCAATTCTGGATATACTTCATTTTAGTAAGTGTATTTTAACATATTTGTTTGAAAGCAGAGGAATTGTTTTTAGAGGCTCTCGATCCTGAATACATATCAGACTTCCCTAGATGCCTCTGGGAATGGTATGCCCTAAGTCCTATCCCCAGAGATTCAGATTCAGTAGATTTAGAACAGGTATGGGAGTTCATAATTCAAAAGAATCCTAGGGTGATTCTGCCAGGTTCTTTCAAATCACTGGGTCCCATTGTATTCTTTAAAGTATGCGTTTTTATCATCCTTTCTTTCATTCATTTTCCCCTACGCAGTAATTTAACTACAGCAAGATATTAAAATTCAGGTTTAATATATTAAGAATTTAATGTGCATCACTTTCTAAAAATGATCTATATCCATACAATGGAATAATATGTCACTCTTAAAAAGAATTAGACAGACTATATGTAGCAATACAAAAAAAAATTCTCTATAAGATATATCAAGTGAAAAAAGTGAAGGAAAAAACTGTGATTGATAAATCCTTTTTAGGTGAATAAGAAAAACAGATATAAGAAACGGTTAATAGTGCTAATCTTTGGGGAAAGAGACCGATGTAATGGAACAGAATGGGAGTGAAAAGAGGTGGGAAGGGGGAAAGGAAGCTTTTGTTTTTTCATTGAATTGCTTTCCTGCATAATTTGAATTTACTAATAACAAATAAAAAAGCTTTTTAAAGTATACCTGGAGTAGAGCAAATATGTAACAATATGTGAAAACTGAAAGAAGTTTTCAGTAGAGCAAACATGTCAGAAGTAGTCTGTCCTTACGGTGAACACTTCTTTGAATCTTTGAAAATCACAGTCAAAGCAATAGGAATGTTAATACTTCAAAGTTCTCTCCTAAAACTTACAATATTAATGCTGAGCTTTCTTGCCAGTTCTTCATCACTTTTTAGCTGTTCTTCCATCTCTCTTCTCCTTTTTTCTGCCTGTCTCTTCTCTTCTTCCTCCTCCTCTGCCAATAATTTCTGTATGTACTCTTCACTGGCTTTGTTTTCTTCTTCCTCAGTGGCCCGTCGCTCTGCCTCCACCTTAAACATGATTAACAGAACAATCCTTCTCTGAACTTTTTAGCATACTTGCAATATTTCTTAATAAGAACAGTAGTGCCCGGCTGGCACTGCTCAGTGGTTGAGAGTCAACCTATGAACCAGGAGGTCACAGTTTGATTCCCAGTCAGGGCACATGCACAGGTTTCAGGCTCAATCCCCAGTAGGGAGCGATCAATGACTCTCTCATCATTGATGTTTCTCTCTCTCTCTCTCTCTCCCTTCCTCTCTCTGAATCAATATAAAAAATTTTTTTTAAAAAAAAAGGAAAAAGAACAGTAGACTGCTGGCACGGCTCAGTGGTTGAATGCGGACCTATGAACCAGGAAGTCATGGTCTGATTCCCATCAGAGCACATGCCTGGGTCTCGGGCTTGATACCCAGTAGGGAGCGTGCAGGAGGCAGCTGATCAATGACTCTCATCATTGATTGTTTCTAGCTCTCTCTCCCCATTGTTGTCTCTCTGAAACACACACACACAGAGTAAACGTTTTTTAAAAATGAACAAATGAGCAGGAATTAAAATATCTAAAATGAAATACAAACTCAGAGAAGCAAATTCCCACAGAACAATTCAAGAAGTCTCTTCATGAAGCCTTCCCAACCAGCCCAATGAAACCTTAATCAAATCCTCATCCCCCTCTCAGTATTTAATCCCAGTTTCTACTACACTGTCACACATTTGTGGACATGTTTCTAGGTAATAGTTTTCCTCAGTTAACAAACACCATGTGCTGAATAACTCAGGCCTAGGTCCTTGAACCAAACCCTAGCAAAAGGAATGTAATGATAAAAACTGACTTAGACTAATAGGACCACCCCTGATGTTTAGAAGAATCCCTAAACCCAGTGGGAGTGGTTGCTGAAGAAACAACCACAGTGGTTATTGCATGATTTACAAAAGAAGAAACAGATGTAGAAAAGCAAGTAACTTTCTTAAAACAGTAAGGGGCAGAGTAGAGACTCCGATTCTAGGGTCTAAGATCATGCTTATGGTCATTTAAACTATACTTCTAAAAATAAACAAGCAAGCAAACTATACATCTCGGGGTGGGGTGGGGGGGATACACAAAAGAAACAAAAAAACAAACAAGAACCATTTAGAATTCCAAGGGATTTGACTCAAGAATAAGTCCTTGATCCAATCCCATGAAGAAACAGGTTCAGAATGGTACAGCCATCTTGCTATTAGCCTGAGATAAAGCCAGCTGACAGAAGTTAGCAAAGATCTGGAGCTAAAGCTCAGGATGAAACCACCCTGAAGGCCCTACTTCTGGACTTCCAATAATTACCATTTTCTTATTGTTTTAAGGTAGCTGAAGTTGGATTTTCTTTTATTTGCAGCCAAAATAGAGCCTGTTCTCACTACCTTTTATCATAATGATTAAATTATTCCTTTAAAACCCTTACTTAAGTCCTGGCAAGGTGGCTTGGTTGGCTGAAACATCATCCCATACACCAAAAAGGTTGCAGGTTCAATCCCAGTCAGGACACATACCTAGGTTGTGGGTTCGATCACTGGTCAGGGGACAGTCAGGAGGCAACTGATCGATGTTTATTTCTCACATCGATGTGTCCTCTCTCTCTCAAAATCAATTAAAAACATATCCTCAGGTAAAGACGATACAAACAAAAAACCCTTACTTAAGAACACTGGTTAGACAATATGCTGACAATCAAGTTAACTATCATAATTATTTATTATTTATTGGTTCTTCTAGACTTGCATCATCCAATATAGTAGCCACTAGCTACATTAATGACCACTTGAAATGTGACTAGATGAAAACAACATGTACTATAAGCAAAAAAGATACTGAAAACTAAGTAAGCAAAAATAATGTAAAATCTTATGATTAATTCTTGTATAACTTTATATAATTAATGCCCAATCATGTGATATGATTATATAGTTAACATATAATTACAATTTTATATAGTATTTTTTATATTGATAACAAAACATTTTAGATATAACGGGTTAAATAAATACTAATTAAAATTAATTTCATCTGGCCCAGCTGGTGTTGCTCAGTGGTTGAGCATCAACCCATGAACCAAGAAGTCATCAGTTCAATACCTGGTCAGGGCACACGCCTGGGTTGCGGGCTCAATCCCCAGTAGGGGGCATGCAGGATGTTTCTCTCTCACTGATGTTTCTACCTCTCTATCCCTCTCCCTTCCTCTCTCTAAAAAAAAATTCAATAAAAACATTTTTTTAAAAAAATTAATTTCATCTGTTGTTTAGAAAAAAATTTTAAATGTGGCTACCAGAAAAATTTAAATTGGATGTAAGTTCACACTGTCTTTCTATTGAACAACAGTGCTCAAGCAGGAGGGTAGTGAGATAATAGGGCTCTCCTAGTACTAGTGAAGTTCAAAGGCTTCACTGTAAACACTACTCCCTCTTTTCCTATTCACGTAATTCACAATGAGCCCTATTTTATACTCTCATCTAAACTCATTGTTGTCTTTCAAAAATTCATGTTGAAGCTCTAATCTGCAATGTGATGGTATTTGGAGGTGGGGCCTTTGGGAATTAAATGGGTCAAGTCCTCAGGAATGGGACAATGGGATTAGAACCCTGATATGATGAGACACAAGATGATCTTTCTCTGTACTTCCATCTCCCTCTGTCTCTCCTCTCTGTCTGTCTGTCTCTCCTGTACTCTCTCCCCCCCTTTTTCTCTCTCCCTCTCTCCTCCCCCTCAACAGATGTGCCAATACTTTGGATCTTGGACGTCCCAGACTCCAGAATTGTGAGAAATGTTTGTTGTTTAAGGCTGCTAATCTATGGTATTTTTTGTTATACCACCCATAACCTACCACAGTATTTCTATTCTTTAAGCTCAAAGCTTCAGGGAAATGAAAATGCTTAGGAATAACTATCAGTTAAGAGACCTAATTATGTATAAGTAAATCAAAGCTAGTTTGTAACTACTGTGAACACATGTAAAAGAAATGGAGCCTTTATAAAGTACACTAAAATTGTTTACATTTCAATATATACTATTTATATAAGCACACAAAACTGTATGTAAAACGTGAAACTGAAAACACAGCAGACAATTTTTCCAAAAAGGAGTAACTATTTAGTTCCTACCTTGCTTATCTCCTCTTCATATTCTCTTCTCAATTCCCCAGGTTTACTCAACAAATGAACTGGCTGATAGTCATCGACTGTTTCAGATTGAGAAAGAAAATAATGTAAGAGGCAACACAGAATATTATGGCTAGCTTTGTCTACCATTAAAACTATATTAATATAAAAATGCAAAATTAAAAAAAATGTAGAATTATTAACAGCTACAGCAATATCTTCTTTCTGTGGTTCCATTTTAAAAGAGAAACCAGAGGTTCAAAATGACACACGAATATGTATACTTTAACTCTTTCTCTAAACTCCATTAAAATAACAGTAAAGGACCCCTTTCCGCCCGACAGTTGCAGCCATCACTGACATGAGTCACGTGCAGCCCACCAAGCTAGCCAGGGTCACCAAGGTGCTGGGCAGCACCGGTTCCCAGGGACAGTGCACACAGGTGCACGTAGAACTCATGGACGACAGGACCCGTTCCATCATCTGCAATGTGAAAGAAAGGCCCTGCATGCGAGGGCGACGTGCTCACGCTATTGGAATCAGAGTGAGAGGCTCGGAGGAGGCACTGAATTTGTGTTTGGGTCTTGCCTGTCTAGGTGGACCACATGGCCCATGGGGAACATGTTCTGCTGTGAATAAAGTGTTTGTGTAAATCCGGAAAAAAATAAAATAAAAAAACAGTAAAGGAATAAAAAGAATCCTACACAGCAGAGAAATTAGGGGAAGGGTCTCAATAAACAAAAAAAACTTTAACAAGTTTGTAGAAAATTATTCTTCCATCCCTTGGTTCCAGGATAGCCCACAGATGTCAAAATCCAAGGAGGCTCATATCCCTATATAAAATAGTGTAGAGCAATGCATACAGTTGGGCCTCCTCATCGGATGACTTCCAACTGTGGTCTAAAACAGCTCAGGTATTATTGAAAAAAAAGCCCAGTATAAGTGGACCCAGACAGTTCAAACCCGTTATTCAAAGGTCAACTGTACATTCTTGTTGGGATTAGAAAATACAACCCCTCTGGAAAAGGATCTGGTAGCTTCTTATACAACCAAACATAGACCCACTCTACCTGCCTGAGAATTCCATTAATCACTTACACAAGAATAAATGAAAACATGACCACAGAAAAACTTGTACAAGAATCTCCATAGCAACTTTATTCATAATAACTAAAAGCTAGAAACAGCTGAGGTGCCATCAACTGGAGAACAGCTAACCAAGTATATAATATAGTCAACAATAGAATGATACTTAAAAATAAAAAGAAATAAAATAACAATACCCATAACATAGGATGACTCTTGAACTTTATACTGAGTAAAAGAGCCTTGCACAAAAGAATACACGGCATTATTACTGTTATGAGTTGAATGTGGAAGTCCTAACCCCCTGCACCTAAGAATGTGACCTTATTTGGAAACAGGGTTGTTGTACATGTAATTGAGTTCATATTGGAGTAGGGTGGGCCCTTAATCCAGTATCACTGGTGTCCTCATAAGGAAAGAGACACAGAAAGGAGATGGCTATGTAAAGACACAGACACACTGGGAGAAGGCCATGTGACTTGGAGGCAGAAACTGGAGTTATACAACTAACTGCAAGCCAAGGAACACCATGGACTGTAAGCAACACCCAGAAGCTAAGAGAAAGGTCTGAACAGATTCTCCCCTAGTCTTCAAGAGAAGAAGTGCCTCATACAGATGGCCAATAGATACATGAAAAGATGCTCAATGTCACTAATCATCAGAGAAATGCAAATTAAAATCACAATGAGATATCACCTCACACCTGTCAGAATGGCTAGCACCAACAAATCAATAAACAACAAGTGCTGGCAAAGATGTGGAGAAAGGGGAAGCCTCATGCACTGTTAGTGGGAATGCAGATTGTTGCAGCCACTATGGAAAAATTGCCTGACCAGTGTTGCTCAGTAGTTGAGCATCAACCTAGGATCCAGGAGATCACTAGTTCGATTCCCGGTCAGGGCACATGGCCAGATTGCAGGCTCAAATCCCAGTAGGGGACGTGCAGGAGGCAGCCGATCAATGACTCTCTCATCATTGATGTTTCTATCTCTCTCTCTTCTTCACCCTTCCTCTCTCTGAAATCAATACAGACATATTTAAAAAAAAATTAAAAATGGAATGGCCTTGCCCTGGCCAGTGTGCCTCAGTTGGTTGGGTGTCATCTTGTGCACAGAAAGGTTGCCAGTCAGGGCACATGCCTGAGGCTGCTAGCTCTATCCCCAGTAGGGAGTGTGCAGGAGGCAGCCAATGGGTGTTCTGCTCTCAAATTCATGTTTCTAAAATTAAAG